ACAAAATATTAAAAAATTCTTTTGAAAATAGATTACCAAAAGAAGTTATTTTTGAACTATGTAAGTTGCAAGATCAAATAAATAAAAACAATGTAAGTCCAGAGTCTATTATTAAAAACATTTCAAGAGATTTAAAAGATAAAACAGATATAGAGTGTAAATTTTATGAAACAGCAGAGGATGTACCAGAACCTGAAAATCTTAACTGTATTAAAAATAATTTAATGATATTTGATGATTTACAATTAACAAAGCAAAACAAGTGTGAAAAGTACTATATAAGAGGAAGACATAGCAATGTAGATTGTTTCTACTTGGCACAAAATTATTTTGAGTTGCCTAAGAGAACAATAAGAGAAAATGCAAATTTTATATGCTTGTTTCTACAAGATGGAAAAAATATAAACCATATTTATAATGATCATGTTTCAAATGATATGAAATTAGATGAATTTAAAAAGTTTTGTAATGAAGCTTGGTCAAAAAAGCATGGATTTATTGTTATAGATTTGTCTTCTGATTTATTAAATGGAAAGTATAGAAGTGGATTAGATTTATTTTATTATCCAACTTCGTCGTGGAATCGATAAATATATATTTTTTTAAAAAAATATATTTTTTTTATGAAGACCTAGTTCCTATGGTTCTTTCAGAATTTAAAGAAGAAGACTTAAAGAAGAAGACCTAATAATGGTATATTCTTAAATGGAGAATTTTCTCCTAATAACATTCCTCTACCTACTGATGAATATTCATTTCTATTTTTAGAATAATATCTATCTAAATAATTATAACTACCATTCCATGGGTTTAAAAATACTCCTTTTCCTACTTTTCTAATTTTAAATCCACTACCATTCTTTTTCACATAAATAATACCATTTCCAGCAATTTTATTAACTATAGTACTTCCAGCAGCTGCAGCTGTTCCAGTCAATAACCCTGTTGCGATAGCTGGAACAACTTTTGACGCAATTACACTTCCAATTAATCCTAGTAGAGGTAAAAATCCACCATTTACTTTAGCATTATATTTAAGTTGTGCTCTACTCAGTGAAAGTGTTATACCCTTATTTTTTAAATAAGCTGCTTTCATTCTGTTTCTTTGTGAATCTGTTAAAGCGATTTTATGTTCACCATCTAAGTCTTGATGCGTTAGTTTTATACTAGCATTATTATTAGATTCAATTGCTTTTTTAATTTTTTCTTTCTGACTATCTGAAAGATTGATAAGAGTATCATAGTATTTTGTCATTTTTATATATGTAATATTTTTTTTAATTCATTTGCATGAATCTGGATCCCGAAGGGATCTAAATCGCTTTCTGTAATGCTTTATACTCATCATCATCTATTTGACCCTGCCGTAACAGCTCATCACAAATAGCAACAACCTCATTTCTAGCTCCAGTATTGCCTGCTTGTAAAGCAGCTAAGCGTAATTTAAGCATCTCAAATAGTGCATTTGGATCACTAGGAAGAATGACAACTCCTTTTCCAGACTTTCCAATCATCTCTTCCCAAATAGGTCTTATTACATTAGTGTATTTATAACTTTTAGATGATCTTGGTTTAGCTGAATTTAAATCAGAGCGAATTGCATCTGTTTGATCTAAAATTTCTTTATACTTATTACGATCATTGTTAGTATATTTAACAGGATGAGATTTTACTATGATTTCCCAAAGACCAGGTGTACCAGTGTATTTTTTACCTTCAATAGTTATATCATTACCTTCAATAGTTATTTGTTTTTTACCAATGTAAAATTTTTCATTACCTTTATTGTAATGTATACCAAATATGTCATCTGATACTTTTTTACTATTTTTAGTAGTATATAACTTTAAATATTCTGTTGCGATAGGTCCTAACGACATTTTATCTACAACTTCAGGTGGCATGATTGCTTTACTTTTAGAATCTAGTAAAGCAGGATAATTTGAAAAAGTATTAGCTATTTGATCAGCTTTATTTTCTAATTTAGATATACCTTCTTTTATTCCAGATTGACTATCTATTAATGGTTTGTACAATTTTTCCAAGTTAGTCTGTAAAGTATCATAACCTAACTTTTCATTAATAGAATCTTGATATACACTTTTCTTTACGCTAGCAAGTTCTTTTGCTATTTTTAATCTTGTATCAATATCTGTAGCTTTTGCATACATTTTTATATAAGCAATAATTTTTTTAAATCACTCTATAATCCTCAGATCCCTAAAAAGATCTAAATCAACATATATTATGCTCAAGTAATACATAATATATGTTCAAGTAATACATAATATATGTTTTAATGTTTAAGAGTATTATTTATCACTCCTATACTTTGATTCTTATTAAATTTTATATTTAGCGCCTTTATAATATCATTTGTTCCTTTTTCTACTCCTTTATTAAATATTGACTCTTTAGTCTGCTCATCTATATCTTTCTTAGATTTTGTTCTAATTTGTTCAGTCATAGCTTGAAACTTTTCAAGTTCTGAAAGTATCATATTAAATTCTACATTATCAATATATTGATCTGATATAGCTTTAGAAATAAGACTACTTATTGTATTTAGTTTTGCATCAGCTAGTACTTTAATCTTTTCATGCTTTTCTGCTTTTATTGTTAATTTTTTAATAGCTTGTGATCCTATTAATGATAATACACCCATACCTAATGCTACAATTTCACATCCAATAGCTACTGGTGATCCAACTATCGTTGTTAAAAAGCCAATACCAACAGCTTCAAGTGTCATTGTGCTAGCTAGTAATGAATTATCAATAGCTGAAACTATTCTTAAAGCTTTGTGATATTTCTTACTTAAGATCTCTCTTCTAATTCTTTCACATTCTATCTTATTTTGAATTTCATTTATTTTAACTAATCTAAAATTCTGATCAGATAGTGGTGGTGCAGATGGATTTTCTGAAAACTGGTTAAGATTTGGATAAAGCTGTTTACATTCATTATTACATTGCATTTCTTTTTTCTATAAAGAAAAATTTGTTTTAAATCACTTTTATTTACCAAAATCAAATAGAGCTTTGTCAGATTTATCTATACTAAGTTTATCTTCATCACATATAGTTTCTTTAATTATTTCTCCTATACTAGATAATATAGATTTTACAGATTCTTTATCACTTTGTGATTTAGTTCCTGAATCCCTTTGTGATCTAACTTGTTCTACTTTTTTATCAAGTTCTGATATATAATTTGCATTAAAAACACCATTATAAGATGAAATACAGCATAACAAATCTCCTTTTTTAATGTTTATATCTTTGTTATCATTATTATATAAAGTTATTTTAATATCATCAGTAGACTCTATTACAACAGAATTTAGTAAATTTAGAGTAGGTTTATAATTTTCTGCAAGTGAAATCAATACATGTCCTTTATCTATTTTGACTCCACACATTAAAGAAATGTTATTGTATGAATTTAATTTTACTGTAAAATTTTCTTGTGCGAATACTTTAATATGTCTATCATTTATTGATCTATGCTCTATATCTGAATTAATATTAAAGTTATTGTATATTTTTCATGCTTTTCATAATCTAAAAACATTCTTCTCTTATACATTTTTTTATAAATGTAAAGATTTTTTAGATCGCTTTTAGCGATCCCTAGATCTCAAAGAGACCTAAGTCATAAATATTAAATCTAATATTTTTTTCATTTTTTTAAAGTTCTAGCAATATAATTTAAAATGCTTTCACCTTTATGTAAAAAATTACACTTTTTATTATCATTAATATTTTTATATAATAATATTTTTTCTCCTTTTTTATTTTTCTTTAATTTACTCTCTACTAATTTACATGGAGTATAATGACAAATTTCTACATTTTCTTCAATTTCTTTTATAGAATGAGCATATTTGCAATTTATATTTTTACATTCTTTTTTATCAAGAATATATTTGCATGATTTAGTTTTAGCTTTTCTTAATTTTAATAATTCTGACTTTTTAGGATGAAATAATATTCTTACATTTAGGATATTCATAGCAAATATGAATATGCCTATATTGACATAAAGATTTAGTGCATATTAGTCTTTCCTTTACAGTATTACAATAAGGAATATCATGATTGTATTTACATTTATATCCAAAAGGACAGAAATTATCATTTAAAATATTTTTACAGAAAATTGGTAGTTTCTCTACAAAATGAATTGTTGAAGGTTTTCCATCTTCAGTAAAATTAGTATCAACATTAAATGGTTTTTCAGAACTAAATTTTCTGTTTTTGTTATGTTTTTTTGTTAAAAAACTATCTATAGCAGGATATTCATCATAAAGAATATTGCTGTAAGTTGGAACATAATTAATCCATTTCAGTTTATCTTTATACAATTCCATAATTTGTACTGTTTTTGAAGGAATTGTAGCCTTTTCTTGAATTTCTATTGTTTCATCATCTTCATCAGATGTAAAATAAGTAGCTTCATCAGATGTATAATAAGTGCCATCTTCAGAATCTGATTCTTCAAATTCAAATTTTCTCATTTCTTCAAAAAGTTTAAATTCTTTTTGAAATTCAGATATTTCATTAATCTCATCATAATTCATTTTTTATTTTTATTATTTGTTAAAATATTTTAAATCAAAAAAAATTCAAAATGAGTTAAATAATTTTCTTTTATATATAAAAAGAATGGAAAAGAAACTTGAAGAATTATGCTTTAACTTAAAATTAATAGATAAACGATTAAGATTAATAGAAGAAAAATTACATATTATTGATACTCATGATATTGAAATGACTGAAGAAGATGATGAATTATGCTTAAAAATAATAAATAAACCTTCATCTCAAATATATCGTGATATTGAAATATTAGAAAAAAAATATGGTTATAAAAATGGAAATGAAATTGATTTCGCTGTAAGTATAGGTCAATTTGATTTAATTAAATTATTAACTCAATTAGGAAAAAAAGGAACAGAAAAAGCAATTAATTTTGCTGCAAAGAATGGAGATCTAGATATGATTAAATATTTACATAAATTAGGACATAAGGGAACAGAAAGAGCAATTGATTTTGCTGTTGAAAATGGACACATTGAAGTAATTAAATATTTACATGAATTAGGGTATAAAGGTTCAGAATGGGTATTTGATTCTGCTGTTGAAAGTGGAAATCTTGAAATATTAAAATACTTGCATGAATTAGGGTATAAATGTACAGTAAGGGCAATTAATTGTGTTGCAAAAAAAGGAAACCTTGAAATATTAAAATACTTGCATGAATTAGGGTATAAAGGTACAGCATGGACATTTGATTATGCTGTTGAAAGTGGAAATCTTGAAATATTAAAATACTTGCATGAATTAGGGTATATTGGTACAGATTGTGCATTTAATTGTGCAGTAAGTAAACAGATTTCACATGAATTAGGGCATAAAGGTACAGATAGTTACCTTGAAATAATTAAATATTTACATGAATTAGGGTATAAAGGTTCAGAAAGGACATTTAATTTAGCTGTGAGAAATAAATATATTAATACTTTTTGATACACGTAGTGACTATAAATTCTAGTAGTGATAAAGTTAAGCAATGCTTCTACTATGCTTAAGTAAATCCCAGCGCATGCGCATTAAAACAAGAAAAATGAGTTAAATAATTTTCTTTTATATATAAAAAGAATGGAAAACGAAATGCAAAACAAAATAATTAATCCAGCATATTTAAACTTAAAAAAAAGATTAGAAATAATGAGTAAAGATTTAAATTTAAAATCTGAAAAATTAGAAAAAAAGAAAAAAGAAATAGAAGAATTAAAAAAGATTGAAAATGACATTCAAAAAGAAGTTGAAGAAATAGAAAATGACATTCAAAAAAAAGTTGAAGAAATAGAAAATGACATTCAAAAAGAAGTTGAAGAGATAGAAAATATAACAAAAGAATTAAAACCAATAAAATCATTTTTAAAATGTATTAAAAAAAGAAAAATAACTGTAAGTTTAGAAGGAGAAGAAATTACTAAAGATCAATTATTAATAATAGAAAATAAGAAAAAAGAAATAATTAATCCAGCATATTTAAACTTTAAAAAAAGATTAGAAGTAATGAGTAAAGATTTAAAATTAAAATCTGAAAAATTCAGTAAAGAAACAAATACACAATTAGGATCAGAACTAGAATCAGAATTAGAATACATAAAGTTAATAATAAATAATTTATATAATCATAATAATAAAAAAGAATTATTAGAATTAATAAGACCGGAATTATTAATATTAGAGAGTGAAATGATATCAACAAGGGATATGTTGTTAAAAATATGTGATGATGAAAATGTAGAAATATTTAAGTTAATGTTAATATGTGATGATGAAAATGTAGAAATATTAAAGTTAAAAGCAGATTATTTAATAGAAATAATAAGACAAATATTAGATATAATAAAGTATTTCTAAATCTAAATAAAATCTAGCGCATGCGCACAGATCCGAAGGATCAGTTTGCGCACAAGAAACAGCAAGAAAAGTCATATGTCGTCACACCTTTTTTCGACAAGAAATAAAAATTTAACACTTATTTAAAAAAATTCAATTTTTTTCATTTTTAAAAATCAAAAATTTTATTTCTTATCTAAATAATTTATACACAACATGGATAACATTGAACCATATATTAATATTAATATATGGTTGAAAATATGGTTGAAAATGAAAATGAGCTAGAACCGGCATTCTCTAACTACTAATTTGTACGTGAAATTTCAAAATCATTTGAAAAATCACGATATACATTAGGACTTTTCACGGGTGGATCCAGTTTTTTTTGTTACTTGAGATAACTAACTTCCAGACATGGAACAAACTTCAAACATTTGTATGTTTATACTTATGTCAAATAAGGATGCTTTGCAAAAAATTTAAGTTTAAATACCCCTTAAATTGAGGGGGATTTAAACTTAATATGGTCATAATTTTTGAACGCTGAGAGATTATACTGAGAAATTAAAAATTTATCGATGAATATAACTTTAGTTATTAACAACTTATTAACAGATATTAACAATACTTTTTTATGTAAGCGAAGGAATGCGGTTTAAAAATAGGCCTGACATGAGTATTTCTGATGCCAATAAAGAGGTCTTAACAATTGAAATTTTAGCCAAAAAAAGTAAAAATATACTTATAAGTTGCTGTTATCGCCCATCATCTGTTGAAATAAATAGTTTTAAGTCATATTTAATTACAGATATCATAAAAAAAAACTACAATAGAAAAGAAATTAAACTACATAGTTGGCAACAAAAATTTAAACGCATTTAAATATCACATAAATTACAAAATTAATGGGTTTTATAATGATTTATTTGAAAACGGTGCATATCCGTTTATTAATAAACTAACAAGGGTAACTTCAATGTCTGCTTCCTTAATAGATAACATTATGACTACGGACCTTTTTAATGAGTCCCTCAAAAAGGGTTTAATTAAAAGCGATGCTTCAGATCATTTCCCGATTTTTTTCTCGATAAATATTGGTATTGAGTTAGTACCGAAGCAAAATCAAGTTTACTTCAAACAATACTTTAGCCAAGCAAACATAATGTCGTTTAATGAGCAGCTATCCTTACTACACTGGAAACATATAAATTTTTCATCTGAAGCAAATCTAGTTTATAACTCGTTCATTAAAACATTTTTTGAAGTTTATGATGCAAACTTTCCTTTATGCGAAGTAAGTCAAAAAAAAAAGCATTAAGTCGCCATGGATAACCAAAGAACTTAGAAAATTGTCCAAAGTTAAACAAAAATTGTATATTAAGTATCTTAAGTCAAAAAGTGATAAAAATAAGGCGATTTATAAAAATCACGTTAAAAATTTTGAAAGTCAAAGAAAAAACTTAAAAAAAAAAATACTACTCAAACCTACAAGAGAAGTTTAAACATAACTCAAAGCGCACGTGGCAACTTTTAAATGAAATCACTGATAACCATAAGATTAAAACATGCAACTTACCAAAAGTTATTAGAAATAAAAATATGGTTTCATATATAATCCAAAAGATATAACTAATCAGGTAAATAACTATTTTGTATCTGTTGGTCCTAATCTAGCAAAAAATATTCCAGTTGTAACCAACAAAACAAATTATTTTAGCCTTCCCAAAATTTCTGTACTTAAAAATTTTGAAATTTCAATGAAAGAATTTGAATGTGCTTATAAAATGCTAAAAACAAATAAAGCAAGAGGTCAGGATGAAATAAATATTAACATTATTATATTATCTTACGAAATCATAAAAACAATACTATTCAAAGTGTTTAGTTACTCAATAAAACAAGGAATATTTCCTGACCAACTAAAGATCGCTAAAGTTACACCAATATAAAAAGGTGGTGAACTATCAAATATAACTAATTGTCGACCAATATCTGTACTCTCTGGCTTTTCAAAGGTTTTTGAAAGGATTCTTTACAACAAAATATATGAAAATCTTTCTAAAAATAAGATATTAAATGCCAGTGAATATGGATTCAAAAATATAATTCCACGGAATACGCCATACTTCATGTAACTAGTAATATTGCAAATTCTTTTAAGAAATCACATTTACTCTTGGAGTTTTCGTTGATCTATCAAATTCCTTTGATACGATAGATCATGAGATTCTTATACAAAAACTTAAAAACTATGGAATCAGCGGAAATTTGTTAAGTTTGTTAAAAAGCTATCTAAGCAATCGTAAACAGTTTGTGTAAATTGACGTATCCTCCTCAACAAGTTTACTAGATATAACATGTGGTGTTCCCCAAGGGTCTATTTTAAGGTCTATTTTATTTATGTTAATGATCTGCACAACGCCTCAAATTTGAAGACAGTAATGTTTGCTAATGATACAAATCTTTTTCTATCCGGTAAAAATATCATTACACTATTTAATGAAATCAATATAGAACTAATTAAAATTTTATAGAACTAAATAAAACTTTATAAAACTAATTAAATCGGTTTAAATCAAATAAACTATCAGTTAGCTTAGAAAAAACTAAATGGACTTTATTTCATTCAAAATCCCAAAATGATATGCCTCAAATATATATTAACAATGTTCAAATAAAAAAATAAAAAGTTATACATTTCCTTGGTATTTTCATTGATGAAAATCTAACATGGAAAAACCATATCGAAATTTTGCGCAATAAAGTTTCAAAAAATATTGGAGTAATGTATAAAGCGAGAAATTTTGTAAATAGACATTCATTAATTCAACTTTATCACTCGCTAATTCAATGCCATATATTCTATGCAAATATCGCATGGAGTAGTGCAAAAAAAATTCAATTAGATCCTCTAAATCGGCAACAGAAGCATCCCAGTGGGCACCGGACCTAAAAAAGACGTCTTTTGAACGTTCAAAAGACTTCCAAAACGTTCAAAAGACGTTTAAAAGACGTCCAAAACGTGTATAAGATGTTTAAAAGACGTCTTTTTTACATCCGTACCCACTGGGATATAGCATGTCTAATAAATTTTAAAGATCGTTATACTCATGCCAGACCTCTTTTATTGGAAATGAATGTTCTTAATATATACCAGCAAAATGTTTTTAATGTTCTTTTGTTTATGTAAAAATGTAAGATAAACGCTATATACTTTCAATATTTAAATGCAATATTTATACCCCTATATATTCAATATTTATACCCCTATATACTTAAATATTTATACCCCTATATACTATATTTATTCAATATTTATACCCCAATATACTATATACAATATTTATACCCCTATATACTTTCAATATTTATATGCAATAAAGCAAAAAAACAAATATGACAATCTTATTCATCAATAAGAAATGACAATCTTATTCATCAACATTATTCTCATACAAGTTTTTGAAGATCTCTTTTAACAAATCGTTTTGAAAATAGTTTTGAAAAATTTTAATTTTTCTCAAAGTTACTTTTAAAATTAAGCTGAAAAAAGTTATTTTGTCAATTGATAATATCTTTGATTTTTTTTTGAGTTTATACCTTTTTAAAAAGTATGTGGTTCCTGAAGATATTGTTTTATTTTGAAATATTTTTTTTATATATATTTTTTATGTTGTTAAACGTTATTTTATGTTTTGAAATATCTGGTTAGATTTAAATTTTATTTCTAAACGTTATTTATTGTAATTATTTAACATATATATTTTTACTGCATTGTTAAACGGTTTTCAGTGACAGGATCTAACGATTCTCTTTGAGTGTCCGTGTTCTGATATTTAATGTACAACGATATTTATACAATAGTATATTGTAATAAGAACAAAAAAAAAGAAAAAAGATTTACAAAAAGTTTTATTCTTACTTATGTTGATTTTTATACTTTTTACTTAACATTTTTTTTTTATTTTGGAATGTATACGTTTATATAAAATATTGGTGAGTAGATCCGTGTGATCTCTCTTTTGATTATATACTATATACTTTGGAAATTTATAGAAGTTTAATATTATTAAACACCAAAGCAATGACGCATACCGCCTAAATAATGACGCATACCTTTTAAACAACAAAGCAATAATGTATTCCGTTTAGAATTTTCAAGTTCCACCTTGTATTAACTTTGATGTGGTAATAATATCAGATAAAAATAATATCAGATTAAAATGTTAAAACGTCCCCAAAATTGATATCGTTATCACTTATTATATCTCTTCCTAAATCTTATAAAAAATCATTAACTGATTCAAATAAGTACCGTGGTATTAGCATCATTCCAATCTTTACAAAACTAATAGAATATCTTATTTTAATAATTTGTCCAGAGATAAAAAAAAACTCATCCTCTTCAATTTGGTTTTACAAAAAATAGCTCAACCGTCCATTTTTTTCAGTCAATTTTTTTTTGGTAAAACAATTAAACAATGCATCAACAACAACTCACCTGTCTATTTCTGCTCCAGAGCTGTAGCTGGGATATTCTCTTTGAGAAACTATACGACAATAAAAAATTGCCACTCTATATTATTAATACTATATTGTCATTGTACCATAAAACACTTCTTCTGTCACTTATTTAGTATGCAAATCATATCCATTTTATCTAACACAAGGAGTGAGGCAAGGGTCGATTATATCTCCTCGCAAGTATAATATATATACTAAAAGCCTACTTCAAACCATACAAAAGGAAAGTATCGTATAGACATCAATTTACAGAAACACAGGTGATGTAGCATAAGCTGATAAATCATATTTCTTAGTTCTACCCTGTCTGGAATTAAAAAGTTTATAGCAGCTTGTAATATATACACTAACGCAAATTGTATATAGTTGAATGCTAAAAAGACTGAGTTCTTGTTCACAGGAAAAAAACAAATAGCACTCTGCACGATAACAGACGACCACCAACAAGTAAATCTGGATGATAAACTTAACCATCTAGGTTTTATAAAAAGGTTTTATATGGGTTACTAAAAGCTCTTATTTTGTCTCACTTAATTGTTCCAATATCGATCATAGAATATCAAAATTCAGAGAATAATCCAAACTCTTATTCAGTCTAGAATCCTATTTCATCATCTAAGCTTTATAATCCAGCTATATAAAACATTGGCGGTTCCGGTCAAACGTATGGTCTTGAACTTTGCAATTATAAAGAAGAAAAAAAAGTCAAGATTGTTGTGTTAAAAAATATAATTCCTGAAAAATTCCTGGAACTCATTGAAGCAAAGTAAAATCTTCAAAGATCTTCTTGAAGTAAATACTCCAAGATAAACATTTTTCTTTTCAAAAATGTAATTTATAATAATTTACCTTATATTTTATACAGTGGGTGATTAATATATATATATATATATATATATATATATATATATATATATATATATATATATATATATATATATATATATATATATATATATATATATATATATATATATATATATATATATATATATATATATATATATATATATATATATATATATATATATATATATATATATATATATACATATATATATATATATATATATATATATATATATATATATATATATATATATATATATATATATATATATATATATATATATATATATATATATATATATATAACAGAACCCAGCTGAACTTACACAAACTTTGATAATTTTTACGTTAACTTTTAAATTGTATAGGTATCGATATCCTTCCGTACTGTGGACGATGAGTTCCAAATTAATGAGTATTTTTGCAGATTTTATGTGGCAGCTACAACTATAAGCAAGGATCTGTTTTTGATTATGAAAAACGTCTATCTTCGTTCCAGTACTGTTGGGAACAATGATATAATTGAGCTGTTGCCATGTATTCTGAAACAGCTGGCTTACACAAACTTGTTCTTTATCAAGAAAACAGAACCCATTATGTTCAATGCAGAGCTCACAGTTTAAATTCTGAAAGAACAAGCAAATTATCAAAGAACAATCTTTACCGGGACCTCTTCATTGGCGAGGCTAATAGAAAAACAAGTTTAACTAAAAGATTTTCAATCAGTTCTAGATTTCATCTGCGCTAAATAAAAAATCGGATTGAAAAGCATTGCCTCGGAAATTGTCCGTTTCATTAAAATAGTTCTGGTCCAGCCAGTGAAAACTCGAACAGCAGAACCATCATTTATTAGTCTGCGTAGACCAAAAACCTTTCTTCGATTGACTATGAGCCAGGAAAGGCTGAACGCTGTTTCTATAATGAATACCCATTAAGAAATTACCCGAGTCTTATAATGAATTTTTTGTTAGATATGTTTATTGAAAAAAAAAACGCGCCGTGTAATGTTTTATTTGGAAACCGAGTAAAGTTACATCTCTACTTGTTCTTTTTTAATTTCGTGATGCTTGTTAACCAAAATCAAAAGTTGTTATTTTTTTATTTCTATATCAAAAATAATAAACATTGGACAGTAGACATACATTGATCAAAAAAATCAAACCTTTAACTTGGAAATTTGAGTACTCTACGCCTATGTATATATACATATATATATATATATATATATATATATATATATATATATATATATATATATATATATATATATATATATATATATATATATATATATATATATATATATATATATATATATATATATATATATATATATATATATATATATATATATATATATATATATATATATATATATATATATATATATATATATATATATATATATATATATATATATATATATATATATATATATATAGGGAGGTACAATGAAATTTTAGGGCTTTTTGTTCGCAGGCTCCAATCATCGCAATATTTTGCAAAGCGTCATTATTTTCATAAGTATAAAGACGCAAATGTTTGGAATTTGCTTTATGTCTGGAAGTTAGCTCAAACACCAAAAAATGCTTGATCCGTCACTGCGTGCTATTGCCGCACAAGTAATTTCAAACGGCCAAAAATTAAAAAAATCTATCGCGATCATTGAACAAAATAAAATTTTTTTTTGTTAAATTTAAAAAAAAACGCTCGCTATTGTGAAGCTATTCGTGTTGCTTATTATTTCTTTTGAAATCTTGTATTAAGTATAAATGGCTCCAAGTTCGCAATTTAAACTAATTTAATTACGCATAAATAATAATTAAAAAAAATTTAAAATTTTTGTTGTCACGTCACACAGTGGCAAACCACCCCTCCCAAATGCAGTGACGGAATCAAGGAGGGAGGAGGTGGTAACCCACCCTCTCCTGCGAAAAAAATTTTTTTTTTCAAATTTATCGGCCCTTTTGTCAATTTAAGGTGGTATCCAGCCATTATTTCTATTTTCTTATACTTTATTTATGAATTACTAGCATAATAGATAAAAATCTAAAACGTAATGAAAAAAAATTTTTTAACTTGAAAAAAAGTAATTGCTGACTCAGCAAAAAAAGATGAAAATATTAACGTCTAAGAACATAAATATCTTAAGATTACATCAATTCTAAAGGTTAAAATTTTGCAAATTGCTAGTATATTAGTGTAGCTTGTATTCGAACCAAAAAAGTTTAGAATAAATGTAAAAAGGTAGACTTAATAGTATAAAAAACTATTTTTAGCGATAGAACATTCATTTGATATGGTGATTGTAGGTTAAGTTTAATTTTTTGTAATTTTATTTTAGGTTCAGGCACTAAAAACATTATTAATGAACATATCCTAAGAAATTTAATACTAAAATAATGTTTTTTTATTGAGATATCATTGTTTTCTTAGAGCTACTCATAAAAAAAAAAAAAAAAAAAATCGTGAAAAATCAATTTTAAAATTATAAATCATGTACACAACTCAGATAAATCATGTGTTTAAGAAGAATATTATTGATATTTTAACATTATTTTGTATATATAATTGAATTCTACAAGGTTCAATTTTATAAATAACATTTTTTCAAATTTTTTATTTTTTTATATGTTTTACCAAAATAATGACTGGAAACCGCTTTAAGGGGCTTATTTTTTTATCTTGTTTTTTTTATTTTAGCTTTGGTTTAAACATCAACAGATGAAGATTTTTTTAAACAACAAAAGATGAAGAATTTTTTTTTCTGGGTGGTGGGGAGTGGGGAGGGGTCACTCCCCACCACCCAGAAAAAAAATTCTTTATCTGTCACTGCCCCTATGTGATATTTGATAACACTTTCCAACACCCCCTCCTCCCCCTAAGACTATCGCGTATTGTTTGAACAGTACTTTAAACGTTTTCAGAGTATTTCTGACGCGCGTATAATTAGATCTTATCAAAATATTTTAAAAGATTTAACTCGTCATCATAAACAGCTTTATGCAACTTTTTATAGAAAATTGTCAAACTAACATATAAATTATTAAAATAATAATGAATAACAGTTGGATTGAGTACAGAGTAAAACGAAAACCAGTTAAAAGGTTTGTGCGCCAATTTTGTTTTTACATTTTCCTGTATGCTTTTTGTACTCCTTTAATAAAACTAAATTAATTAAAAAGAAACAAGTGAACTTATTATAGACATGTTAGTTTCCTGTCGTGCAAAAAATTACGTCAATAGCAAATATGTTTTTTTTTAACGTTTGAAAAAAGAAAAAACAGAAAGAAAAAAAAAACGAAATAAATATTTTACAACGCCCTTCTTTATTATTGCTCTATACGTACATCAATAATATTGTAGATAATTAATTGCAATTGTCCCCCGTATTATTTAGATTCTCGTGACATCCAAGATAATTTTTTTTTCTTTTCTAAAAAGCTACATGTCACGTTTTTAATTTCCTTCCGTATTTTTTGATGAAAAGATATTAATAAAATTAATCAAAGCATTTTGATAACGTAATAACTTTTTCATTTTTTAGTAGCTTAGTTAAATAAATATGCTAGGTTTTATCCCTCATAAGAGAGATAAAACTTAGCAAATATAAATTTACTGTATATTTTGTAACGTTAAAAAAGACACCTGAGAAACACAAGCAACTTCGTGCAAAGTGCTCTTAAAATTCCGTATTAATATAATTCCCAGTCTCCATAACAAAAGTTAAACACAAATAAATAGTTAATTTAAACGAGTAATTTATCCATTAATAACAAAGGCTTGTTGAAACAATCGTATTTAAAGCTGAAAACAGATTGTCCGAGCGAAACAGATTTATGATAACTTAATAAAACTAAAAAAATAACTCAAAAGAAATTTTTTTTTATCGAATACTTTTTCAAAGTTGCAAAAAAAAAACCTCCTGAAAACTACTTGAACATTTTTAAATTCGAGATATAATTATATAAGATTACACCTTCGCGGAATTGTATTTAATATGAATGGCGCAATTTAAAAAATATTTTGCAATCGCGCAGGAAAAAAAATGAATTAAAAATCTGGAAATTTGTAAAAACTATACTTAGTAGATTTCTAAGCAAAATAGATCAAAGTTTAATTTAAAATGTTGCCACGAAGAGATTCACGACTAGTATACGTGCATAATTTATAATGTTCAATTTCTGAAGAAATCTTGGTAGTTTTTTTTTCAGCTTTTTGTTGTGACGTGTGAAGGAAAAGTAAAAATGTTTTTCTTCGAAATATTTTTTTAAAATAATTTTATTTGACGCTAATTTACGATAACTATGATTGGCACAGCAATATACGAGTTAACTGGGACAATTAAAGAAGTTAAAGTGTTAAAAAATACTGAGGTTTGTTTATTTATTTACTTTTTTTTTTTCTCTCTAAAGGTTTGTGTAAATATGTGAGCGAACGCTGTTTTTTTAAATTTTCTCTAAACTCATATATTTTGCAAAAACAACAACAACAACAAAATTGAAAACAATTAAATTCGAGATTTTAATTTGATTATTTATATATATATATATATTTTTATGTTCTATTAGAAAATCTTAATTCAAAAAAAAGATTTTCTTTGTAAAATCACAATTCAAAATTCTTTTTTTTTTTTTGTTCCTTTACAGTTTTTTCTACTTTTTTTTTTTTTTCTTTCTTTCTTTCTTTTGGAAAAATCTCAATTCAGTGTCTGTTCGTGAATGCTGGTTAATAATACTCGTTTCATTCGATTAATGTTATTATTAAATAATGAAAAATTTAAAATAGCGATAATGCTGTCACAAATATTAACCACTCAGTCGATTCTGTTCGCAACAGGTACATAAAGTTAAAAATAACCCTTTTCCTAGACTTGGCCTTGCGATGTAATTTTTTTTTTCCGAAATTTTAATTTGAAGTTAATGCTTTTACTTAAGATTCTTTTATTAAAATTCATTTTCATATGTTTAAATTGAGAATAAAAATTTATGGAACCACCATCCCGAATCTTTAACAATCTTTTTTTTCTATATCTGATAAATATATATATATATATATATATATATATATATATATATATATATATATATATATATATATATATATATATATATATATATATATATATATATAAATATATATATATATATATATATATATATATATATATATATATATATATATATATATATATATATATATATATATATATATATATATATATATATATATATATAAATTACAATTAAAAATAGATTATTAAATATAGAAAATATGTTGAATAGGTATAGTACTGTTGATGCAAAAAAGACCCATTACCCTTTCCTCCCCCTCCCTCAGGTTTCGTTTAACTTGAGCTTAATCCATAATAGTAAACTCACTATTTACCCGGGAAATCGGCTAGCGAATAGCTAGCTATAAACGTAACAATAAAGCAATAAAGACAGCGGTTTGGCCACGAGAATCGCTAGCTTTTTTAAGATAGCGAAAAGCTATCAATATTTGTTAAGATAAAGAATTCGATTTGGCTACGAGGACTGCTAGCTTTAAAAGACCCACTGGCTATTGTAACTAGCGTCATATCGTAATAAAATCGTTGTCTAAAAAAATTTGATATGTAGCTATCAATCAGCTATATATTTGTAAATAATTTGTAGCTAGCTACAAAGCTACGATATGTAGCTAGCGACAAATTGCTACAAAATCGCAAAGTTTAAAGTTGAATTATTTTCATAAATATAATAGACTCAAGACTAAAAATCTAATTTTTAAAAATGTTAAACACATTAGAAAAAATAAAATAGGAAAAAAAATTGCTTGAAAATCGCTATAAAGCTAGCTCATTTGCCACCGGGTAACTTCATTCAGTATTTCAGAGAGAATAACTATTTATTTGCTCAAATAAAATAAAATATATTTTTAAAACAAAAATTAAAAAACATCAATAAATATTATAAATTTCTTCAGATGCTTACCTAGTTTTTAGTATGTTTGTGTAAGTTTGACTGACATTTGCATCATTTTTTAACGTTCGCTGTAGATGTGGTACAATGCATACTTTATTGTCCGTTACACACATAACAATCATTTAGTGGCGTTCTTACAAAACCACGAAATTTTATTATTTAACATTTGCAGTTGTTTTTCGGAGGGAAATTTTTTTAATTAATCTAACTACTCAATTAATCTAACTACTTAAAATTTTTAATTTTTAATAAAACTTTTTAGCGATGATGTTACCGCAATGCGATTATGCGGTAAATTTCGATAACGATTTTTAGATAAGAAATTGAGGGTGATTAGTTACGATTGCGATATTTAGGGTGGAATGCAAGAAGCGATCTTGACATTGTAACCAATAGCGGCAGAGTATGGGTTTTCCCCTCAAAAAATAAAAATCTCACGCGAATCAATGCAATTTTTATCACGTATTCGTAAAAAAACACTTTTGTGCTATAAGGTCGTCCACAAATTACGTCAAGCGAAAGTGGGTGAGGTGTTAGCAATTTTGTGACAATATTTTACAGGAAGGATAGGTCAGAGGCAATTTTAAGAGGGAAATGGCGGAGGGGGTGTTCCACCCCCACCCCTCCATATAACCTGCACCGCGACTCTAACTTATTGCTAAAAAAGTTATTTAAATAATACATTTATCAAATGTTAAATATCTTCAGTTGTTATTTGTTTGCTTACTGTTAATTTAAACTTTATAATTTAACTTTATATTGAATTATAGGAGTGCAATATATATATATATATATATATATATATATATATATATATATATATATATATATATATATATATATATATATATATATATATATATATATATATATATATATATATATATATATATATATATATATATATATATATATATTGGGTTGTAACATAAGTTCGTAGAGTTTTGCGTTAGAGTTATTTTACAATCTTTAAAGATTTATTTGAACAAAAAACAATAATTATAAGAATAAATTAATCAATGATACATTCTTCGTCACTGTTTACGACCTCCTCCCATCTCTCGACCAATTTGTTGATGCCGTTTTGCCAAAAATTGGTCGGTCTGGTGTCGAAGAAGTTTTTGACCCAGTTTTTAAGATTCTCTTCACCATCAAAGGTAACACCCCTCATTTGGTTTGATAGTCGGTAGGTGCAAGATCCGGAGAGTACGGTGGAGGCTGAAGAACCTCCCATTCAAGCTCTTGGAGTGCTGTTTTGACAACTTGGGCAATATGGGCCTGGCATTGTCGTGGAGCAAGATGAATTGACCTTGTCTATCGGTTTTTTACAGTCAAATAGCCTCATTTACACGGTTCAGCTGGGCAATGTAGGCCTCCTTGTTGACAGTGGCTTTTCGTTCGAGCATTTCCCAGTGCACCATGCCTTCCTTGTCCCGCCAAACGCAAGTCATGGCCTTTTTTAAGAGAAGATCTTGCTTGACTCTTGGCTTCGGCGTCTCTCCTGGGGCCACCCACTCCTTTCTTTGCTTCACATTGATGCACAGACACCATTTCTCATCTCCGTGATGATTCGATACAAAAAGCGCTGTTTGTGTCCATGTGTTGCTCCGTGGCGGGCGAGATGTTGAGCAGCAATTTGAAGATATTTTTCTTTGTTTTCTTTGTTGAGCTCGTGAGGTGCCCATGCTCCGAGTTTTTTAGTAAAACCAATTAATTAAAGGTGGCAAATTCTGCAGGTCGTCCGCTTCAAGGCGTGTCTTCAAGGTCAAAGTCCCCATTTTTTAATTTTGCAAACCATTTTTGTGCAGTAGACATACTTAAGACACCTTTCCCGTACACACTGCATATGTGCCGAGCGGCTTCGGCTGCTTTTTGACCTTGATGAAAAGCAAAGAAAAGCAGATGTCAAAAATGCTGATTTTTTCCTCCTGGGTATTCCATTTCTGAGCCAGAAAAAAGACAATCAATAAAATTATCCAAAAAAACAAATAAAACCGTTTTGTAGACGAGAAAGAGCTCTTTCGAATGAATGTATACATTTTGCTCAAAAACAATACAAATTGTTGTAAAATAACTCTAACGCAAAACTCTACGAACTTATGTTACAACCCAATATATATATATATAAACTCTACTTTTCCCATACCTATTAAAGTTAGTCGATGTATGCAACTACAGCGCGACTACGGCCATATCAGTCAATTTATGTGCGCATCTATTATTATTCTGTGAAAACTTTAACAGGGAAACTGATATTTGATGAAATTAAAAAATTAAAATGATATGAGATTTAGAGAAACTGGTAATTGATGAAATTTTGAAGTTGTAATAGTTGTTTAAAGTCAAGTGTAATTTATATCAAATGTTTAACTGTAGTAAGAATGTAGTAAAAAATTAAACGTTCAATTGTTGTAGAAAATCATACATCCAACTGTAGTAGAAATGGTTAAAACTTTCAAAGTGCATTTAATGGAATTCTTAGTTATGCTCTGAGGTAGATACTTGAAAAAATTCAAGTTTTTACAATTTAAATTATATACTTTTCTGGTCGATTTGACATTGCTGATTCTAATAAAACTATAAAATTTAGACAAAGCAGCGTCAAAAATAGTCTAATTTGGCATTAGAAAATCTATATAACTTTCTAGTGACCTAGCAACGGCCTTAGCAATCAGAATGGTTCTGATTTTTGCTGATGGAAAAATAATACCAAGAAAAAATAGTTATTCTGATCAAGTTACAAACACACTTTAGAACTATTACAGATGCGCTATTAATGCTAATTTTTTAGATTTTATAGTAATTGTTTAAACTAATTTTTATTTTTTTAATTCTTTTTTCTTCCTCAGTTTCGCATTTCATCAAAAGATAGAAAATAAAAAGCATTCTGAATCGGAATTTAATCCTAAAAAGAATTTTTTAGAGACTTAAGTGCACAAATATTTTTTGTGTTTGCTAGTAAAAGTCTTGTTAATAAAAAAAGTTTTTAAAAAACCTTTATGACCTAAATAATTCAGCAATTCACATGTTGTAATTAGAGAGTAAAATGATAATATAATGAGTAGTTTTAGATTGACAACAATCCTTTTTACCACCAACCTTCAATCGCAGCACCGTAGAAACAAAACAAGCGACAGTTTTGTGGAAAAAAGATTCGGTAGATACGAGGATCAGTAGATAGTTCTGTAGATACAAGACATATTTTTTGAACAATGAGCGTAGAAATATGTTGTTTAATTAAAATATTTTAAACTGTTGGGACTCCTTATAAACAGGGCTTACTTTAAAATTGTTAAAATACTCAAAATGTTATTGGTACTCGTCAATCTGTCACTCGAACTTTAAATGTCTTGCAAAAGATCTAAAAAGTGTTTTAAGTTCCTGTTTATTCAAAAATTTTTATTGAATGTTGTCACTGGTAAAAAACGTTTTTTTCTTTTTTAGGAAATAGACGAGTTAGAAAATGTGACAGAAAAAGATCCATTTGCAGCTTCTAATAATTTGCCAATAAATGGCAAACCATGGAAAGGTTTGAATATTTTTATTTTTACTTTATAATTTTTTTAAATTTATAAATAAATAAACAAAAATTATTTTAAAGGACTTAAAAGCAAAGACAAATTCAAGCGTGTTATTAAAACATTTATAAAACTTGCATCTTTGATTGGTCTTTTGTATTTGTTCATTTGTTCACTGAGTTTCTTAAGTTCTGGATTTAGACTTCTTGGAGGAAAAACAGCAGGTAATTATTTTATTTGGATTTTCTTGTTTGTTTGTTGTTGTTGTTTTTTTTTTTGCTTTTTTTTCATTTTTTGCTTGTTATTTTTTGCTTATTCACATAAAAAACTGAGTAACTGAGATTTTCTTCAAAAAATTCACGCTAATTTTGCAAATGTCTTACCTAATATTTATTTGCTTAAAAGATTACTTGTTAATATAATAACAAATCTACTAGCTTCCATTTTATGAAGGCGAACTTGTGCAGTTATTATCATGCCATATTGCAATTTATTTTATTAAAAATAAAAAGCATTAAATGTTTTTTACATTGACATAATTAAGTATAATCAATCATATTGACATAATTAAATCATATTTGAATACTTAAAGTATACATAACAATTTGACGCACTTAAGTGTTATTGTTTGACTTGCCAAAGAGAGCGAAAACAACGATGAGGTTGTTACAAGGTTTACTCACTAAAAAAATTAATTTGAAAGAAGAGGAGTAACTATAAAAAAGTGTGTTTTGTTTTAAATGTGTTTTTTCATAAGAATGTTTTTAACTTTTAGGTAAAGCATTTTCTTCTAATAACATCATAACCAATCCAGTTGCCGGATTGATGATTGGTGTTGTTGCTACGGTTCTTTTACAAAGTTCTTCAACAACAACTTCTATTGTTGTCACCATGGTTGCCTCAGATTGTGAGTTATTTTAAGATATTGAATTAATTACAGATTTGTTATTAAAGTAATTTTCTAACCATGTAAAATTTATAACAACTTAAAGTTATTTTTATGCATTTTTATTATGTATTTATAATTTTTATTGTTACTAATGGTTACTAATTACTATTGTTATTGTTACTGTTTTGTTTACTATTTGCTTATCATATTTAGGAATGATTCTGGAATATTAAAATACTTTTAGAGGAGTTGCAGTAGTATTACATCTTATATATTATATTTTAGATATTTTATCTTACATATTACATCATATATTTTATATCTCTTATATTTTGCTATATTACTTTATTTTATATTATAATTATCTGTCTTTCTTAAAATGATTGCAAATTACACTTTATGAAAAAAAAATGATTGCAAATTAATAAAAAAAGTAAATTAGTTAGATATGGTTTAAATTTAAAAAATAAATACTCTATATTAAAATATTTATCAAAAAATATTATTCCTTTAATTTTTAAAAAATTATAAAATTCATGCTCATGATAAAAAAATTATCAAAAAAATATAAAATTCATGCATTAATATTTATTAAAATATTTTTGCTTTTGGTATTAGATATTATATCGAAACTAAATTTATTTTAGTAATTAAAGTTTCTCCTGCTATTCCAATTATCATGGGAGCAAACATTGGAACCACTGTTACTAATACCATTGTGTCTTTGAGCCAAATTTCAGATAAAAATCAGTTTCGACGAGCGTTTGCAGCTGCAACAGTTCACGATGCATTCAACATCATAACTGTACTTGTACTTCTACCTGTAGAGATATTGTCAGGATATTTGTTTTGGTTAACAAAAACAATTATCAGTACAACTAGTTTGTCTTCAGATAAATCACTAGATCAGCAGCTACTTACCAAAATCACAGACCCGTTTACTAACCTAATTATTCAACTTGATAAAAATGTCATAGAAGGCTTAGCAAAAGGCGATATGTCCTTCGCAGAAAAAAGTCTTATAAAGAAGAATTGCAATAAAGAAACAAAACATTTGTTGATGTTTAATCTCACACAAAAGATAAATAATACATTGATGATTAACAATACACAAAATGTTGTAAAAAACAGTACAGAGTTGGCAAATAATACACAAATAAAACATAATAAACCTTGTAAGTTTGTGTTTCATAACACTGGTATGTCAGATTCACTAGTTGGTGTTATTTTACTTGTTAGTGCTTTAGTTATATTGTGTTTTTGTCTTGTTTTCATTGTTAAAATATTAAACTCTTTGCTACGTGGTCAGATAGCTAACGTCATTAGAAAAACATTCAACGCCAATTTTCCTAAACCATTTTCATTTTTAACAGGCTACTTTGCAATTTTAGTAGGAGCCGGAATGACTTTTTTGTTACAGTCTAGTTCAATATTTACATCAACATTAACGCCTTTAGTGGGTTTGGGTGTATTATCAATAGACAGAGTATATCCATTAACACTTGGTTCTAATGTTGGTACAACAGCAACTGGCATTCTAGCAGCATTAGCATCTCCAAGTGATCATTTGGCACCAGCATTGCAAATCGCACTGTGCCATTTATTTTTTAACATCAGTGGAATACTTTTGTGGTATCCGCTTCCATTGTTTCGAAAAGTTCCGCTTAATATGGCAAAATATCTTGGTAACACAACTGCTGAATATCGGTGGTTTGCATTTTTTTACATATTAGTATTTTTTTTTGTCATACCAACATTTGTGTTTTTACTTTCAATAGCTGGAAGGGCTGTGTTTATTGGAGTGATGGTACCTATCGCATCACTTTTATCTTTTATCTTTGTTGTCAACATACTTCAATCAAATAAACCTAGCTTTCTTCCGCATATACTTCGAAATTGGAAATGGCTTCCAAAAATGTTGCGCTCTTTAGAACCATACGATAAAATGATAACTAAACTTTGTGGAAAATATCAACGAAAAAAAAACGATGCTTGCGTAGAGATGAGTTAAAAATAAAGATTTGATTTTATAAGATTATATATTTTATAATATTTTTTCAAAATTATTTGCAAAACCTGCAGTTGTTATTTTAAGGTTTTCAGCAATTGGTATATTTGATACATACATATATATATATATATATACATACATACACATACATATATACATACATACATACATACATACATACATACATACATACATACATGCATACATACATACATACATACATACATAAATACATACATACATACATACATACATATATACATACATACATACATACATACATACATACACAGTGCCGGATCAAGGGGGCTAGGGGGGACTATAGCCCCGGGCCCCGCAAATTTAGGGGCCCCAAAAAATTTTGGAGGACTTTTTTTTTTTTTTTCAAAGTTATTTTTAGGCTCTGTGTCCCATAAAAAGGTCTCCAAAAACAAAAATAGCCGCGGGCCCCAAGAAGTCTTAATCCGCCACTGTACATACATACATACATACATACATACACCCATACAAACATCCGCACCTTTAGTGAGACCTCATTTGGCGTCCGGCAACCGGGACATTCCTAAACTCGAGTTTTTTTTTTATGTTTACATTTTTGTAAGGTAATACTAAGGTAATTAGTATTTATGTATATTTGCTTATCATATGACGGATTCAAAATAGTGAAATTCGCATGTCCCGGTATCGGTGATATTTTAAAGTAAGTCTAGTTTTTTTTGCACCAATGTAGGGACTTGACTTAAGGCTGTATATATATTGCACTAATTTTTTTTTTATCTTTTTAGTCTTGCATTATGGACATTATTTTGTTTGACATCTGAGGTATTTTGTGGTGCGTAGTTTTTTTTAATATGTTGAAAGATGTGTAGCAAAACAACAAACAAACTAAATACCAAATATATCTTTGATTTCCGGTAAAGGAGCTTCTAAAGGATTGCAAAATATATGATAAACGTATAGAAATTTTATGACGATGAACTGCTATATTTAAAAATAAATAAAACTTTTATACTTGGCAAACCCCATTACCTTATTTTTCGTTAAAAGACAACATAGAAAATAGGGTGCAGTTTTGATGACGTTACATTGTATTGTTAGTTCTAATATCAGTTATACAATGACTTGACTTTCAAAAAAATCTTTTGTTTGAAAATCAATTCAATAATATATTACGCTGCTCTAACTCAACTTCTTTTCACTTGGACTCTTGTTTACTTCTATTCTTTTTTAAACTCACTTTCTCTTGATCCGTCAAAGCGGTTTATGATGATCCTGAACTTATCTTTACGGGCCTTGTTATGTGGCCTCTATATGGCAGTTAGCAGGAGGAGAATAAATAATAAAATTAAACATTTGTGCTATATTTATTGTTGTAAAGAATTTTTTGTACAATTGTATTTACCAAAGTTTCATTTTGATTATTGCTTGATTTTATTAAACAACATTTTGTATGACTTTTTTTAAAAAGTTTAGTAAGTGACTATCAGAACATTGCGCGATAAGGTTTGACTTAATAGATTATTTGTTTGTTTTTTTTTAATTTTTAACTAAATGAAACAATCCTTTAAGATTAAATTTTAAATTTAAACAATTTTAAGACCTATGTTGAAACTATGGCATAGCAGACCAGCTGACGCAGAAAGATCCAATTCAAAAAGGGGTCTAATGTCTAGCAATAATGCAAAAAATATTTTATTTGTTTTAGACAAATGGAAATTTTCTGTTCAATGTTTAGATTGTTTAAAAATAAATATAATATCTTGTAACAATTAAAACTTTACAATTTAATTCTAATAATTTATTTTATGATTTAAAATTGATTGTCTATAAAGTTTTAATGTTTTAAAAATTTTACAGGGGAGGGTTTTTTTTCAAGTTAAGCATAAGTTAAGCAGTGGCACAGTGGTTAGCATGAAAATGGTTCAGAAAGATGAGATTCATAGTTCTATGCCGTTGATTCGTTGATGCCGTTGAAAGATGAGGTTCATAGTTCTAAGCCGTTATGAGGTTATTAGTTCTATGCACATACAATAGGCGAATGACAATAATGTCACAGATAAATCACATAAAATTATTTAAAAACAAAATTTCTAAAAATATTGCAATACTTTAAATGGTAAAACCTTACCTTAATCGAACTTTCTTAAAATATATCTACTTATCTTTTATTTAATACAATGTCAATTGTATTTAAAACCCTATTTAAAAAAATACAACATCTATAGATATAGAAATGCAAACAATAATTATATTTAAGGTAAAACTCATTTTGAAGTCACTAAGTTTTTTATCACAGCTTGAGGCCCCCAGTTACGAAGCATAGTAATCAGAAACGACATCAAAATAATTGCAAACATAAACAGTTTTAAATTAAAACTAAACGAAACAAATTTAGCTAATCAAGAAATGAAGGACTTCTTCTAAAGCTATATTTAATTATTGGTCTTTGATAACATTTTTAATGTCAAGTTTTTAATGGCTATACTATTTACGGAGTATTAGGGGTATGTCGCAAGTAATGCGACATGGAAATGGTGGGAGGCGTAAACTTTCTTGTTAAATACTCTTCCGGGTAGCTTAATAATATGACCGATATGCCCCTTAATAACTAATATAAAAGATTTAAAAGAGTTATGCTACTGCATGAAACTTTGAGCCCCTTGATAACTAATACAAAAAAGTTAAAAGAGTTATGCTACTGCATGAAACTTGAAATCAAAAACAAAGCGATGATGTTTATAATGTTGACGCTATTCAAAGGCGTCATTGTAAACTTAAATAGCGGGTGTTACATATATTATTTTGAAACTTTTACTTCGTTTAATAGTCATTATGTATTATTTTTTGATCTGGGATAAATCTTCTTTTTTTCTTTAACCATAATTTTAAATATATAACATTAAAACATTTTTTTAAAGTACAACAGTGTCTTTTGAATTTAGAGTTTTTTTTTAACAATTGTTTGGAAACTTCAAAAATAAATTGAGCTAATAATCGGTTGTTTTTTTTGTTTTTTTTTGAAATGTAAGGTTTTTTAACCGTCCTTAAATTTGTTTATTACTAACAATGATGTCAAAAAATTATATGCAGATATGAATATTGAGCTAAATAAAGTAAATAGTTGGTTTAGGGCTAACAAACTTTCAGCTAATGTTGAGAAACTATATAATATTTCAAAAAAAAATAAAGAGGAAAGCTTTTCTCTTAAGTTGCCAGATCTTATCCTATATGATAAATTTGTTAAAAGGCAAGCCAGTATAAGATTCTTATAAAGTTTGATTAATGAAAATTTATCCTGCTTTCCTCAAATAAAATATATCCAATCTAAGTTCACCAAAACTGTTGGTATAATGTATCGAATTCGTTCATTCGTCAATAAACAAAGTCTCAAACAAATATATTTTTGGCTTCATCAGCTATGCAAACATTTGATGGGCAAGTACAAAACCAACTAAACTTAAAAAAATTTATAGTTTACAATAAGATGCCAGCTGGATCATTTACTCTAAAGATTAACGTGAACACGCTAAAGCCTTAATGAAAGATATGAAAATGATGGATGTATTTGAAGTAAATACCTATCAGCATTTAACCTTTATGTATCGATTTAATAGCAATCTCTCTTCAGATAACTTTAATAATAAGTTTGAAACAAATGAAAATGGAAACAATAACCTTATACAGAAATTTTTAAAACTTGAATTTTTATATTTTTAGAGTACTATAAAAATATATAGTATAGTAATTTTTATATTTTTTATAGAATTTTTATATTTTTATAGTTTTTTTTTTGTAGTAATTTTTATATTTTTATAGTATTTTATTTTTTAGTATATTTTTATATTTGTGCATATATTTACTCGGAAGTCTCTTGATCATTTTTACGGTCTTTTCAGTCTTTTTTTTTCTTTTTTTAGTTTTTTTTTTCTTGTTTTGTTTAGTTTTTTTTTGTTTTTGTTTTTTTGTTTGTTTTTTTTGTCTTTGTTTGTTTTAACTTTAACGCAGTAAAGAATACCATTTTACTTTAATAGTTTTATAGTTTTTCGGTTTTTAGTTTAAAACAAAAATGACTATATTTTATTAAAACTTTTTAAGGGGCTCTATGAAAAGATAGCGACGACGTATCGTTATCCTTATCTTCTCTGAACCCTCTTCTGTTTAATTCTTTATTTAATAAAGATCATTACAAAATCCAATCTATTTTATATTTTATATTCAAAACAGTGCCTGGTGACAAAATGTATATATTAAACAGCGAAACAAATGTGTGTATATATATATATATATATATATATATATATATATATATATATATATATATATATATATATATATATATATATATATATATATATATATATATATATATATATATATATATATATATATATATATATATATATATATATATATATATATATATATAACAACTAACAATAGCTTAGAAAATTTGAATTTTATCTGTGTCTCAGTAACGGTACATAAAAAAGTTATTCATTAGAGAGTTTAAAACAAATCAAAATCTAGAAAAAAGATTAACGTAATAAGTCTTAGTCACGGCAGTTTAAAAAAATCGTGTAATAGGTGACAAATAAGAATAAACGTTTTTAATTTAATTTTAATTAAGTAATGAACTTTACTTGGTTAGAACATTTGTCTTTATATATTTTTGAAACTAAAGGTTTCTTAACCGTTATTAAGTTTACAACGTTATTACCGTTATTATTTAGTTTTAGTTTACAATGTTGAGGTTTCTCAACCGTTATTAAAAATAAAAACAAAATCTTGAAAAAATTAAAACCTAAAACAAAATCTAAATCAAAAACAAAATCTTGAAAAAAATTTACGTAAAACAGTCTCAGTAACGGTGGTTTAAAAAAAAAAATACTGTGTTATACGTGACAAGTAGGCATAAACATTTTTAAATCAATATTTAACTTTTCATACATGATAAGAACATCTGTTTTTTTTTTGTTTTTTTTTTAATTTAAAGGTTTCTCAACTGTTATTAAATTTATAATGGCTTAGAAAGTTTGACTTTTCTCTGAATTTCCGTAACGGTTCCATAACAAATAATACATTCGAGAGTTTAAAGCAAATCAAAGTCGTTAATAAAGGTTAATGTAATAAGTCTCAGTAACGGTGGTTTAAAAAAAAACGTGTAACACCTTACAAATAAGCATAAATATTTTTAATTCAATTTAAATAAAATATTTAACTTTTAATAAATGGTTAGATTATCTTTTTTTATATAGTTTCGAAATTAAAGATTTCTCAACCGTTATTAAGTTTACAATGGCTTAGAATGTTTGACTTTTCTCTAAGTCTCAGTTACAGTGCATCTAAAGTTCATGCATTTGAGAGTTTAAATCAAATCAAAATCTAGAAAAAAGATTAACGTAATTAGTCTCAGTAACGGTGGTTTAAAAAAATATAGCGTAAACATTTTAAAATCAATTTATATTAAATTTTTAACTTTTTACAAATGAAAAGAATATTTATTTTTATATTTTTTTGAAATTAAAGGTTTCTCAACCGTTATTAAGTTTACAATGGCTTGGAAAGTTTGAGTCTCAGTTACGTTGCATGAACAAATTATACATTAAATCTCAAATTCAATCAACATATCAATCTTATCGTACATAAAGCTATGTCAAGAGCTTTTCTTATTTTAAAATCTTTTTATTCACGAGATAGATTGCTGATGGTTAAAGCCTACTGTACTTATGTACGACCTATGCTTGAATATTGCTTTTTAGTATGGTCACCTTACACTATATGCCTGATTAATAAAGTTGAGAAAGTGCAGCGTTTCTTCACTAAAAGAATTGCTGGTCCGTGGTCAGTTTCCTATGATAAGCGTATATAAAGCTTAACACGTTAGAATATCGACGAGTGTTTAAAGATTTAGTTTTATGCTACAAAATTTTTAACGGTAAACTGGACACTGACCTATCAAACATTCTTATTCTCAATTCTTACTTGAATAATCGAGGTCATAACTTTAAACTGTACAAAGACCATTGTAGTTTAAAAAGCTCAAAGTGTTTCTTTTTTAATCAAATTGTTAATGTGTGAAATAGTTTATCGGAGGATGTGGTGTCTGCATCGTCTTGATGTTTAAGAAACGTCTTGCTGTACTGCTTTGTTCAAGTTAATACAATTTTGTTGTTACTTGTCCAGGACTTGATACAATTTAATATTTCAGTAAAAAAAAATGTATACTCAGTGTTAGTGGTCTTCGAGTCCTTCTGTTGTTTTCAAATAAATAAATAAATTAGAGAGTTTAAAACAAATCAAAATCTAGAAAAGAGATTAACGTAATAAGTCTCAGTAACGGTGGTTTAAAAAAAATTGCATGAAAAATACGTGGCAAGTTAGCATAAACATTTTAAATTTAACTTATATTAAACATTAAACTTTTAATACGTGGTTAAAATATTTATTTTTATATATTTTTGAAATTGAAGGTTTCTTAACCGTTATTAAGTTTACAATGGCTTAGAAAGTTTGACTTTTCTATGAGTCTTAGTTACGGCGCATCAACAAATTATACATTAGAGCAGGGTTGTCCAACCTTTTTACAGCCTGGGCCATTATTTTATTTTGATGACAACACGAGGACCACAAATTAAGAAAAATCATTTTGTTTAAACTTCTAATTTAAAACAACTAATTCCATTTCAATATTGTCAAAAAAAATGTATTTAATGGGAAACTTGGCATTGTTTATTTTTACACAATTGATCAATGTCAGATTTTATAGTGGACGATGAAATCCGAAGTGTATCAGTGAGGTGTTCATCTTTCAACCTATGTCTCTGCTCTGATTTAACATGTTTCATTCTTGAAAAAAATTGTTCACAGATGTATGTGCTTCCAAAAAGGGAAAAGTATTTCATAGCGTGTTTGCACAAATGTGGATAAACTTCAATGTTCATGTATTTTTTATAAAGTTCTAACAATTCAACATCTTTGTAAGCATCTTTCAAATCTTTATTGTTTTGTAGTTCTATTAATTCCATTTGAAATTCATCTCTTACTGTCTCAACTTTAATGGAAAATGGATGTGAAAATAAGTCTAACTCATTCTTTACTTCTTTAAAATCACAAAATCTTGTGTCAAATTCATCAATTACTTTAAAAATAAGATTACAATATTTTTCATAGTCAACTGTGTTGGTATTTCTTTCTGACAATGTTTTAAAATGGATAAGTGATTTTTGACTTAATTGTTGTTTGAGAAGTTTCAATTTCAAAACAAATGTTTCTACATTTTCATATAATTTACTAATAAGTTGATCTTTACCCTGCAACTTGATATTTAATTCCATTAACATCTGTGTAATGTCAACTGAAAATGCCAAATCATTCAGCCAGTCATTATTTTCAAGAAAGCTTGTGTCTTTATCTTTAATTTTTAGAAACTTTATTATTTCAGGTATTAATATCCAAAATCTTTTCTAAGTTGCAGCTCGACTAAGCCATCTAACTTGGCAGAAATAAATTACATCTTCTGCCTCACTTCCACAATCCTCAAGCAATTGTTTGAACTGTCTGTGATTAAGGCCACGACTTCTTATAAAATTAACAGTTTGGATAACAATTTCCATAACTGTTCCTGATGTATAATACAGTGATATGAAAGAATGTTGTGATTAATGGATTTCTTAAATAATGCCACAAATCCAATATTTTTTCCTTTCATTGAACTTGCTCCATCTGTAGTGACACCAGAGAGTTTTGTTTCTGGCAAATCAAACTTTATCATTGTTTTTTTGACTTCAGAAAGAATATCTTCCCCTTTAGTAGTGCCTTTCATGTGCCTGAAATCCAACAGTTCTTCAATTATTTCAAAATTACTTGTTATAAATCTAATAAAAATAGCTAACTGAGCCGTATCACTTCTATCTGTTGATTCATCAAGTGCCAGACTATATGCTTCACACTTACATAGTTTTTCTTTCAATGCTAATTCAATATTCTTTGATAGATCTTCAACCCTTCTTGCAATTGTCTGGTGTGAAAGACTGAGATCTTCAGCAAATTATATTTTTTCAGGGCATACCTCATTACAAAATTGTTTTATAGAGTTTTTTATTAAATCTCCAGTAGAAAAAGGTTGACCACTTTTTGCAATATTTTCTGCAATTAAAAAACTTATTTTGGTAGCACTGTATGAGCTAATTACTTTACTTTTCATTATTGATTGTTGCCCGATAAAATTTTTCTTTAGCAGTTCTACCTTATCAACACGAAATTGGCCCTTGAATTTATCATAAGTTGCTGCATGTTTTGTAGTATAGTGTCTATTAACATTATACATTTTGCACACGGCAATTTTTTCAAAACAAATGAGACACATAATTGAATTATTTTGCTCCATTACAAAATATTCATTTGTCCAAGATGGGTTAAATATACGACCTCCTCTTCCACTTTCAGTTTCAGCTCTACGTCTTTTATTAGCACTAGCAGAAGCCATATTTAAAAAAAAATCAATATAACTATGGTTCCGCTAACCAAATAGTCAATACCGTTTTAACCGGTTTTATAAAAAAAATAAGGCGGTAGTTTTAACCGTGTTGCAATTTTAAAAAAAATCTGATTTTTAAAATTATATTAAAAAACTGCCCTAATTCTGAGCTACAGAAAAAATAGTTTTAAAAATATAATATTCACTTGATTTTGTTAAAAGTTTTGAATGGTTTTTGATAAGTTAAGAATTGAAAACGCGGGCCATGGCAAAAGACAACGAGGGCCACTTTGTGGCCCGCGGGCCACGCGTTGGACAACCCTGCATTAGAGAGTTGTACACAAATCAAAATCAAGAAAAAAGATTAACGTGATAAGTCCCAGTAACGGTGGTTTAAAAAAAAAGCGCGCAATACGTGACAAAATAAACATAAACGTTTTTAATTCAATTTAAATAAAATATTTAACTTTAAGTTCATGATTATAATTTTTTTTTTTTATATATTTTTAAAACTAAAGCTTTCTAAACCTTTATTAAGTTTTCAATGGCTTAGAATGTTTGACTTTTCTCTGAGTCTCAGTTACGGTGCATCTAAAGTTTATACATTTAAGAGTTTAAAACAATTCAAAATCTAGAAAAAAGATTAAAGTAATAAGTCTCAGTAACGTTGGTTTAAAAAAAAAGCGCGCAATACGTGACAAAATGAACATAAACGTTTTTAATTCAATATAAATAAAATATTTAACTTTAAGTACATGATTAGAATTTTTTATATATATATATTTTTGAAACTAAAGGTTTCTAAACCTTTATTAAGTTTTCAATGGCTTAGAATGTTTATTAAGTTTTCAATGACTTTTCTCTGAGTCTCAGTTACGGTGCATCTAAAGTTTATACATTTAAGAGTTTAAAACAAATCAAAATCTAGAAAAAAGATTAAAGTAATAAGTCTCAGTAACGGTGGTTTAAATAAAGCGTGTAATAGGTGACGAATAAGCATAAAAGTTTTTAATTCAATTTAAATTAAGTATTGAACTTTTAATACATGGTTAGAATGTTCATTTTATATGTATTTTTGAAACTAAAGTTTACTATATTACTGACGTTATTATTGAGTTTTAGTTATTAAGTTTACAATGTTGAGGTTTCTCAACCGTTATTAAGTTTACGTAAACGAAATCTAGAAAAAAGATAAATGTAATAGGCCTCAGTAAAGGTGCTTAAAAAAAGAAGCATGTAATTTCTGACAAATAAGCAAAATCATTCTTAGTTCAATTTAAATTAAATATTTAACTTTTAATACATGGTTAAATTATTTATTTTTATACTTTTTTGAAAATAAAGGTTTCTAAATCGTTTCTAAGTTTACAACGGCTGAGAAAGCTTGACTTCTCTCAGAGTCTTAATTACGGTGCATCAAAAAATTATACATTAGAGAGATTGAAATAAAACAAAATTTAAATAAAAGATCAAGTTAACAAGTCTCAGTTACGGTGCTTAAAAAAGAAGCATGTAATTACTGACAAATAAACATAATCGTTTTTAGTTCAATTTAAATAAAATATCGAGTTTTTAATAAAATTATTATGTTTATTATATATATATTTTTTTTTAAAAAAAAGGAGTCTTAACCATTATAAGGTATACAATGGGAAAGGGGAGGAAGGTTAATTTTTTGTTTGTTTGTTTGTTTTAATTAATAATTCTTTAGAAATTTTTTTTTAAGAATATTTAAAAGCAACTCAGTTTTTGTAATTCTTGGTGGTTGGCGTTGTACTTCTGTTTTCTAACATTTTTAAGATAACAAAAACTTTAAGATTTAGAAAAATATATATTTATGTAGAATTCTTTGCGTGTAAAGTTCCGTTTACTTAACTTATCTGTATAATACTTTACAGGTAATTTTGCAAACTAAATTAAGATTCCAATTAAAATGTAGCAAGAAGCAACAGATTAGTTTTAATAAACTTCTTCAGAAGCTCCCACACTCTTGCGGAAAGTGTGGAGTTTTCCTCCACACCTTTGTGTAGCTATCACTCCTAGACACAAGTGTGAAGTTATTTTGCACACTTTTGTAGAAATTACCTTTTTCTAAATCAACCTCTGCATAGAAGTGTGGAGTTATTTGCACAAAATTGTGCAAAGTATTTCTACACTTGTGTCTAGGAGCGATAGCTACACATTGGTATAGAGGAGAACTCCACACTTTCCGCGAGTGTGCAGTAGTTGACAAGTTTTATCATACAAAGTTTCCTTTACCAGCGTAGTTATCTTTAATAAAGTCAACAATAAGTTATCTTTTTAAAATAAAAAAAATTATATACGATTAATGCTCAGCAATTCATAAATTTGCATCAAAGAACTTAAATGCTTGTATTATTCATACAAATATAGTTTTGAAAAAAATATATATTTCTATATTTTTTCAACAGAAAAAAAGTAAGTAATATGGGTTTGAAGATTCAGAATTTTATTCTTAGCTTGTTACAAGGAAGTTTTACTTGAGAATGAGATGTCAATAAATTTATAGAAAAATAAAAAGATCTGTTAAACTCCGAAAACGATTGAAGAATGAGATATTCATTATAAGGATACAAGTAGATCATTGCCTCAAAGATTCACTCCATTTAAAACCATAATTGTTGAATAAAATACAAAAGTTTTTAAAAACTTTTTAATAAGACCAATTTTATAAAAATTTTATTTTTTCAAAAATATTTCGATAAGATAATAAAACATTATTAGAAAAAAGTTTAAGTATGAATACAAAATTATATGAATTAATAGTTTAATTTATAAAAAGAAAAATTTGCCTTTTGTTTGAAAATCTAAAAAATCTATAACTAAACTAAAGCACATGACGGAGGTTTGTTGATTAATGTTTCTATTTAATTCGTTTAGTAAGATAAATTTTTTTTTTTAAATTCATTTAAATGATTTTCCCTTACGAACTTTTTCTTCAAGACTTATTTTAAAAATGTCTCTTTGTTTTTTTGCGTTCCAGTACTCTACAGGACATAGGTCACGGGTTTTGAAGTGGAAGGGCACAATCATCAATTTCTAAAAAAGTCGTCTAAAAAAAAAAAAAAAAAAAAAAAAAAAAAGATCTTTGGTGGGAGGTCCTGTGCTCCCTTTCCTCTTTGTCCCGGTGTCGTCAGCCCTGCTCTATAATAGATCTTTTTTTTATTTTTTTTTTAATTTTATTTTATTTTGCTGTTTATATAAATTACAATTTCCTTTCACCAAAAATAAAATATAATTACAAATGTACAAGTAATAAACAGTCAGGGGCTCAAAGAAGGTATGGATGGCAAAATACCAACCTAATCTTTTCATAGAGCCCCTACAGATCATAACAATAGTATATGGAAATATATGGTTAATAAATCAAGTAGAAAATTTAGGAAAAAAAAAAAGAAATAGTAAAAAAGAAGATATAATGTTTAAGAATAAAAATAGAGAAAAAATCTCTATTGCACATTTTTGTTCAATTTCGTGTTGAATTTTGCTCAATTTCGTGTTTTCGTGTTCGTGTTGACTTTAGTACCTTTCTCGGCGCTTTCATCAATAATTTTTACTAGTAGATGGTTTAAAAGTATTATTTTTGCATAAATATTCTGTTGTTCCAAGTTAGTTATTATTCAGAGTATGCCACGTGCAGTATTAAAAAGGTGCAATATAGAATTAATGTAAGTAAATTTAATTATTAGTTATTAAAAAACAGAATGTTATTGTTTAAAATATGGTTCGAATCTTAGTTGGAATACTTTTATATTATCAAATGATTTTAATATTTAATTGAATATTTCTATTTTCCAAATTATAAATTTCTTGGTTCAAAAAATATAAATTTAATATGAGTCTCAGTTTCGGTGCATCAAAAAAAAAAAAAAAATTTAAGAGATTAAAACAAAACAAAATCTAGAAGAAGTTAATACGTCTCAGTAACAGTGATTAAAAAAAAATCAAGTGTTTTCTGACAAATAAACATAAACGTATTTTATTTACTTTAAATTAAATATTAAATTTTTAATACATTATTGAATTTTATATTTTTAGTTATTACTTGAAAATAAACGAGTCTCGACCGTAATCAAGTTTACAATAGGTTATAATATTTGAGTTTTCCTTTAGGGAATTGTCCATAAACTACGTCAGGCATTTTTTGACAGATTTTGACCTCCCCCTCCCCCTCGTCACAAAATCGTAACACTTAAGAAGCAAGTTTTGTATGAGTCGTCACAAAACTACCAACCCCCCTCCCCTTATAGCGTGACGTAATTTATGGACGACCCCTAGTCTCAGTAATGGTGCAATGAAAAAAAAAAAAAAGAAGAAAAAGTTTGCCTCATTTCTGAATATATGAAAAACTTCAACTCTAAAATGCATGACGGAGGTTTTTATATTTTTATTACTTTTTAATTAGTAGTAGTAAGTTTTAAAAAAATGAAAATAATAAAGTTTGTTTAAATCATTTTCACGAAGTTTTTCTTCAAAACTAAGTTTCAAAATGTATCTGCATTTTTGCGTTCGAGCACTCAATTGAACTTTTTAAAATTTGGGTTCTTGTATTTTACCCGGCTCATTTTACCGGCACATGGTTTCGAATCTTTATCTGTATAAATTTGGCGATTACAAATGCATGTTTTCGAGTGAGCCGCGTGTAGTGCCGTTAAAGGTGCAATGTAGAATTAATGTAAGTAAATTCTTTCTTAACGCATTTATAAAAAATATTATCGTTTAAACAATTTAACATATGTTCTTTTAATATTTTTCTTGAAAGAGAAGGAGTGTTGAACATTATTAACATTACAATTGCTTACAAAGTATGATTTCCAAACGCCCTATGTCTCAGTAACGGTGCATCAAAAAGATATTTTTAAGAGATTAAATTTTAATCTTGAAAAAGAATTAAATTTATAAGTCTCAGTAACGGTGTTTAAAAAAAGATAAAAAAATGTTGTGTCGTTTCAGAATGTGTCACGTGCAGTACCGATAAAGGTACAAATAAAAATTAAAGTTAGTAAACTTAATTAAAAATAATTTATAAAATGTATGTTATCGTTTTAACAGTGGAACATTTGTTTATATATTTTTACTGGAAGTAAAAGAGTTTCGGCATTTATTAAGTTTATAATGGCTTAAAAACTATAATTTACCTATTGCTCCGAGTCTCAGAGTCTCTCACAAAAAATAATTTTTGGTGCATCAAAAATTATTTTTTGTGAGAGACTCTCTTTTAATCTTTTTATACCATTTTCAAGATTACACTGGCTTAAAGTGTATGATTTTTCTTAAAGTCTCAGTTAAGGTGCATTAATTTTTTATTTTTTTTAATTAGATTAAGTCAAAACAAGTTTTAGAAAAAAACATACTTAATTTCAGTAATGATGTTTATATACCTATTTCATTAAAATTAAATATATTATTTAAAACTAATTAAATATGTTTATTTGTAAGGAAATACATTCATCTTTTTTTATACACATAAGATCCAGCTTAGATTTTGTTTTGTTCTAATCTCTTTTTAAAAAATATTTTTTTTATGGTGCACTGTAACTGAGACTCCGGCTAAATCGTACATTCTGAGCAATTTTAAACTAAATACCATTCAAGACTCCTTTTATTTTAGGCAATTATAAATTCTAATTTTATTAAATATAATGATAGAAATTATAAATATAGAGAATTATAAATAATGATAAATAATGTAAAAAATGGTAATGATAGTAATTTAATGAATCATAAATATTATATATGTATTAATGATAATAATTTAATGAATTATAAATATTATAATGAATTATAAGAATAAATACAAAATTATATTAATTACAAAATATTTTTAAGCATTAAGCTATTAACAAAGAAGAAATTAGTCAGCTAATTGAAAGCAAGATACACAGTTCTGATGATGAAATTTTATCTGACAATAACAATGGTAATAGTTTTTGTATTTAAATTTATAAGTTTTTAGGATTTAGTATTTTTTATAAAGTTTATAGTTGTTGTTATAGTTATCGAATCCAGACACAAACATGGGCATAAAAAACACTACTGTCTTTATTGTGAAAAACTTCTCTCAAAAATCCCAAGGCATTTAGAATATATTCATAAGCATAAAGAACTTGTTATAGAAGCCCTTCATTATCCAAAAAAAAGTAAAGAGCGAAGAAATATGTGGACTTATATAGAGAGGAAAAGGTGATTTTAATGTAAATATAAATAACATTAAAAATTCTAAATAACATCTGTAAGAAAATGTACAGTCAACAAAGATGATGAGCTATTGCCTTGTGAATATTGTTATGGTTTTTTCAGAGCAAGGAAACTTTGTGAACATGTTTCAAAGTGTTTTTTGCGTGGTAGTGATAACAAGGAAATAAGTTATATAAAAGCTTCTCGAATATTAGTAGGCCAATCCAGTTTGACCGACAATGCTAAAATTGTACATGAGTATATACTTACAACTATGAAACATGATAAACTTCACCTTGTTATTCGCAATGATAAGTTATTATTGACCTATGGAGCAGTTGAAGTTGGTAAAAAAGAAAGAGATCGTTACTATGATGTAGGCTATGCACTTCGAGTTTTAGCTAAGTTATTGTTGCAATACAGAAAACAGTTTAATGCAGAAGATGCATCTGCCAAAGATTTAGTCAATGCGATAAGCTATGATAACATTATTTCTTCTATGAAAGTTTGTGCCGATTATTGTGGACCAAGAAAAATTGGAAATCCTCGTCTTGTTTTAAGAATAGGATATTCATTAAAAACTTTAGCTATAATAGTCAAGTTAGAGTACCTGAAATTAGGATTAGGCTATGGTAGAAAAAGGCAGGTGGAAACGCTAAACTGACTAAAAAGCTAGCAGAACGATTTAAACTATATTACATTAAAGGCAAAAAAAAAAAAGGAGATGTATGGAATTTTGTTTTTTATTCACTTATTAAAAATTTAATGACATCTTATTTTATATATTTTTCTGTTCAGATATTGAGAAATTTTTGTATTCAGAAATAAAATTTTAAATGCTTTTTTCATGCTGTATATGTTATTAAATTAAGTTCTTCTGTAAAAGCATTAGTTCCGATTATTTTTACTGAGGAAGTTGTTGGTGCAATCCGACTATTAATCAACTCAAAGCATTATGCTAATATTTCTCCAAAAAATAATTATGTGTTTGCCCGTGGTTGGGACGCGCTGCAATCTTTAACAAAAAAGCTTAATTTATTGAAGCCAAAGCTTATTACACCAACTAGAAAGTATTTGTCAACCATTCTGCAGTTGTTAGACATGAATAATGCTGAGCTTTTGTGGCTCACAAATCACATGGGACATACTAAAGATGTTCATCAAAATTGGTATCGACGTGACGATTCTACTATTGAATTAACAAAAGTAACAAAAGTTCTTCTTGCTATGGATAATGACGATACAAGGTGCATTCAAAATAAGAAAATCGATTCACTATTACAAAATAGTTTTGAAGGAATTGGTTTGTTTTTTTTTACTTAATAACTTTTTTTATTTTTTATTTGACTTTTTTTTTCTGCATATAAATATTGGTTAACTGTCATAAAAAATTTTATGACATTAGGTCATAATATTTTTTATGACCTAATTAACAGTTCTCAATATATACTCACCTTAACTCATAATTATGAGTTAAGGTGAGTATATATTGAGATCATTTGCAAAACGCCTTAAGTTTGAGTTAACTCATTTTAAGAATGAAATGAAAAACTACCCTTAGCATCAATAGAAACTGATATTTTCTTTTTCCAGTTTTAAGTCAAAAAGTTTTTGTTTTTTTTCAGTCCAATATTTAGATTTTCAAATTTCAGTAGAATGTGGAAATGGAATTAACTTACAATTTTTGTGACTTTTTACAGTTTTTTGTGAACTTTTGTGCAGATAGGCACCTCATGTTTTGTCTTATATATCCCGTTTTGTAAAATAGTCTTTTTGAATGCTAAAAAACCTTGTTATAAATCTGTTTTTAACTGCTTAGTGTCGTTTTATATTACAAATATAAATATAATGAATAATAAAGCTTTTAAGACAAACAGGTGTGGAAAAATAGGTGTATAATAGCACCCACAAATGTGTTTTAAAACAATTTTAATTTTAAAACAAATGTTTAACGTTGATTCATGTAATGGTTAAAAAAACAGGTAATGCCCTTTATTCAAATTTATAAATTGTCGCAGTTGTAACCATTTATTCGTTAATGGTTATAGGGATATCAAATGTTAATACATGAGGAAGTGCTAATGTTTGCACTTATTCAGATGAAGATGTTGGAGATGCAAATAGCAATGTTTTAGATAAAAATATCAATGTCATTGAAAATGAATTAATGTCGAACGTAAAAGAATACAAAATAAAAGACTAAACATGCACAAAGAGGTTATTTTTTGAAATTAAATTAACTTTGCTTTTCTCTTTAAAAAGAAAAATTCGTTTCAAAATTATAAACAAATCTTTCGTATTTGAATTTTGTTGTTTCTTATTATTTAGTGTTCTTATTTAGTCAAAAAAAACTTGGAAAGGTTGGTCGGAAGAAGAAAACGCATCACTTCGTAAAGCGTTTTCGATATATATCACGAGAAAGATTCCGTGTCCGCTTCTTGATGTTAAAAAAATTATCGAAAGTATACCTTGTCTTCGAAGAAGAGGGCGTAAGATTGTTAAAGATAAATTAAACAATATTATTAGAAAGAGATGATTTAAGCATGTTTATTTATTTATATACAAATAATGGTGTTTTGAAGTAGTTATGTTGAAATCAAATTTATTAACTTTGATTAAATATTATATAATTATTTCAAGTGTATTATCATTTTAAGTGTGTATAAAAAGATCAGTGTTATATTTGTATAATGAATATATATCAAAAGCAAAAAATATTTATTTACTTTGTTTTTATGCATATTTTATATTTCTCTAATAATTCACCGAAAAAAGATGTTTTGCGAGTAAATCCAACTTTAATCTTAAAATTTATTCTTAAAAAAAGACTTTAAAAGATTCAATAACTTTGTTATAATGATTTTAATTTATCAACCTCTCAAAAATAAACTAAAATCATAAAACAATTACAAAACGATACGAGAAAAAAGTCATTGGCATTACAATTTTCATAATTTTTTAAATGTGATTTTCAAAACAATAGAAAAAGTCGCGTTTAAAGAACGCGAGAAAATGCGCGTGTATGTAAATCGTGTAAGCTAATAACTTTATAGTGGAGCAGAAGTAGACTACTATCTCAGAATATAACACAGTATCTTAAGCATCTAAATGTATTTGGCATTATATTTGCAAAATAAAACAACATTTTTTTAGAGTCCCGATAATGGTGAGTTTTCTAGTTTTTTAGTGTAAGCTGAATGTTCGTGTAAAGCCCCATTATTGAGACTTAAAAAATAACAGTGCCACTCATCGAAATACATCGAATTAACATAGTTTTTGCTGTTATTTTTATCGGGACTTAAAAATGTCCCGACAAAAAAAAAAGTCCTCGTAAAGGGTCAGTATAAAACCGCAATGTCTCACTAAAGGTACGAATGTACTTACATACATACATACATACATACATACATACATACATACATACATACATACATACATACATACATACATAAGTACATACATATATACATACATACATACATACATACATACATACATACATACATACATACATACATACATACATACATACATACATACATACATGCATACATACATACATACATACATACATACATACATACATACATACATGCATGCATACATACATATACATACATACATGCATACATACATACTTAGCTTGAAATATAAAATACGCCCGTAGGTTTGTTCTACATAATAAAATAACATTAAGTTTTTTAGGAGCCCTTACTGATCCTTGAATATCTAACGAATTCCTAATATTATCTAAAAAAATCATTTCAAAATTCCGACTCGGCAGATAAAAAAAGCGAAAATTTTAATTATGTAAAAAAAAAATAATAATATATTTTTTTCTCTTTTTTTTTTCTTTTTGGAAAAGCGCATGGCATTACGGCAAAAAAATTAATAATTTAAATTCATAATTACCAGCCCAAATTTTTAGTTATTAATTTCTAAATGAATGAGTTTTAAATCCCTGCAGTCAATAATTGCGTGTTCTACAAACAAAATATATAAATATAGTTCTACAAACAAAATATATAAAACGTATTAGGCATTTAAAAAAAAAAAAAAATGATTAAATTATAATTGAATGTGCAAACTTAGACTAACAAAAGTCCTAATAGGGAGTTTCAAAAAAATCTTGGAAACGCTTGTATCTTTGTCAACTAATTTCTTAGAAATAAAACTGACAACCTCCAATTTTCTCTTATTTAAACTTAATTTATGTAAATATTTTGTAAACAAAGAATGGTATATATTAGTAATCTTGTCAAAGATAAAATTAGGTTTGAAACGGAATCATGTACTGAGCAGAAAAATATAAATTTAAGTTACTGGATTAATAAAGTTTAGTTCCTCGGAAAATATAAATTTTAGCAGTATACTTTTTCATAAATAAGTTCAATTTAAGTTTCAGTTTTTTTTAGTCTTTTCAAAAATACTAGAAAAAATAATGTTCAATCGAATTTACGACCCTCTAATTAACAATAAAATCTTATACGAAAACCAATTTGGCTTTAAAAAAAACAATTCAACAGGACACGCTATTCTCCAACTTACGCGCGACATCTCAGAATCTTTTAAAAAATCTCATTTCACATTAGGAGTATTTATTGACTTATTTAAAGCTTTTGATACCGTCAACCATCAAACTCTTATAAAAAAATTATTATCATATGGAATAAGAGATAACACCCTCAATTGGTTAAAAAGCTATCTTACAAATCGTAAGCAATATGTTTATAATAAAGAATCCTTGTCTCAAGTGTTAATGAATATAATGTGTGGTGTTCCACAAGGCTCCATACTTGGACCTCTTCTCTTTATAATATATCTAAATGATCTTAATAAAACTTCAAGCCTAACAAAAATAATCTTTGCAGACGACACAAATTTATTTATTTCTCATGAAAATATTAATATTCTTTTCAACAACATGACAAATAAATTAAAAAAGGTTTCTGATTGGTTCAAAATAAATAGGTTATCTCTCAACACAGCTAAAACTAAATGGACACTTTTTTATCCACTCTATAAAAAACATAGAATACCACATTTGTTACCTGAACTATATATTGACAATGTAATGATAAAAAGGGAAAAAATAACAAAGTTTCTAGGAATCTATATTGATGAAAATTTAACTTGGAAGCATCACATTAACGTTATCTCTTCTAGAGTTTCCAATTTAGTAGTATTCATTTGTTCACTGTCATATAAACTATGCAAATATTGTATGGGGAAGCACTCAAAAGACAAAACTTAAAACACTTTTTAATTATCAGAATCACGCAGCTCGCGCAATTAATTTTAAAAATCGTCTTACTCACTCTGCGCCACTTCTTAAAGATATGAAAGCTTTGAATGTTTATCAACTTAATATTTTTAATATTTTATGCTTTATGTTCAAGTGTAAAGAAAATTTATCTCCACAGGTATTTCAATATCTTTATTCTTTAAAACCGAAAAACAAATATAATTTACGAATTGACAACAATCTTAATGCTCCTTTTTGCAAAACTAAATACGACGAATTTTGTATGTCCTATCGTGGACCTCTTCTTTGGAACAAAATAGTTTTACCTAATTTTGACTTTTCAATCAAACTAAACTACTCCTCATTCAAAATCAAAATTAAAGAAATTATCTTTTCAATTAAAAACATCTTTATCTATTTTTGAGTTTTTATCATTATTGCTGATATATTAGACTTTTTTGTATTATGTTTTACTATTTACGAATATTTCCATGAGTTCTTTGCAAACTTATGTATTTAATGGATTTTATGTTTGTATTTTATTGCTTTTTATTAGTGTGTTTTGTTAAACTTCATATTGTTTTTGTTATTTTACGAATTTTTATAACTTTATTATAATATTACGTATTTATATTCTATTATACTCAATACTAAAAAGCATTGTAAAGGGCTTCATGATAAGATCCTCATGATCTTCTAGAAGTCCTGCCGCTAAATATGTAATATGTTAAAATTTGTATTATATATTAATATATATTAATATTGTTATTTAATAATATATTTAATTAATAATATATATTAATATTATTATATATTATTATATAATATAATATTATTATATATTAATATTAATATTATTATTTGGTAAAAAAAAAAAAATAAATAATAATAATAATATTTTATATATTAGTAAATATTAACAGAAAAATACCGGATTGCGCTATGTATTATGTAATCATTTAAATGAAGTTCATGTATGGTCACGCATGGAAGTCGCAAATTCGTTGAGTTCATGTAGTTCTTTTATATAGATAAATCGCTTGTTAGCATTTCAAGTGAAATATTACATACAAGTTTAATATATTTTTAATGATAAATAGCAGTCAAATATTTCTAGCTGGAGTATAGCGTTTAAAAAATCATTGTTTATTTTTCAAACTATTGTAACATCTCAACTAAAAAATATATATTTTAAATGATAAAAACATAGATATTTAAACAATCATTCAATCAAAAATTTTTGTAATAAATATTCTTTAAGATAATTATAATAATCCTTTAATATTTTAAAATCTAATTTAAAGCTGCTGTTCCTGCCAGTGTAGCCAACTGGCATTTTTTAATGCCAAATTTAGTAAAATTGGCATTATTTTAACATGTTGGCATTTTTTGGGATTTTGGCATTATTTTGGCATTTTGGCATTTTTTTGGCATTTTTAAAAAAACTGTTGAAATGATTTTTTTTTCAGTTGGTTTGTATTTAATTTGTATTAGAACATTAAGCACAATGTCGAGGGTAAATTCAAGAAAGTACCTTGAAAAATGGGAAGCGGATTATCCTTGGCTTAAAAAAAGCTCTGATGGTACTGAATCAGCAATCTGTACCCTTTGTCGTGTGACTATACAACTACGGAAATCGTCTGTAGAACAGCACAGTGGTACTTTTAGACATGCTTCAAGAGAAAAGCATCTTAACACAAAAAGCCAGATTACGCTTCCTTTAGTATCAAAGAAAGCAGACTGTGAAGCAGATATTCATCTTGCTCTTTGCGTGTGTTGTCATGCACCCATTTCAACAATAAATCACCTTGGAGAAATCATTTCTCTTTATGGAAAAAATAGTCCCCTTGAAAACCTTTGTCTGCATCGAACCAAATGTACCCAAATTATTAAAAATGTAATTTCTTCATCAATCGAATCAGAAATTTCTGAATCAATGGCAGATAAACCTTTTTCCATCCTGATTAATGAATCAACTGATGTTTCTTTGACAAAACATCTTTGCATTTGTGCTCGATACTATTCAGATGAACAGAAATCAGTTATCGATGACTTTCTTGGTTTAGCTGCTGTGATATCAACCATTGGTGCAGATCTTTTTGCTGTTTTGGAAACAAAGTTGACGTCTG